TCTCTCTCAGGGTGATGAAGTGTTTGAGGCCTCTATGTTAGGCATGGCTTTGGTACTTATCTCATACAACAACACCTCTATATACTTTGTTGGGCTTTTTTTCCATCTTTTCTAGTTGTGCTTGCAATGCGCTGAGGAAATGAATAAAACTTATTCATGCTAGCTCTTCCTTTACTTCTTTGACTATGGTATGGGGTGTGGGTGTCTTAACATTGATAGTATATATCGCACTGAGAGCTGCTCGATGAGGAAAATCAAGTACTCGATGAGGTTCCTTGCATAGAAAACAAGATATCAATGGCTATGGCTTAAAGTTCCATGGCTTGTTTGTTCTTGGTTGTGGTGAATCTATAATAAGTGGTCTCTTATCGAGGTTTGCTTACTCTTGGAAATTTTATCCCATTTTTTGAGCTAGAGCTACTAGTCTTGGATGGAGGATTTTTCCTTTTGTTGGTGCTTTAACTATAATTAGTAAGGCGCTCAGCACCCACCATTGCCAAAGTCACATCTTGTATCTTCTGTCGTTGTAACTTCATCCTCGCCCATGGTTTCAAACCCTCAAGAAAATAAAGCAGTCTATCTTTTTCAGTCATATTCTTGATATCTAGCATTAAAATAAAGAAATTCCTTACAAACTCTCGTACTAATCCCATTTGGGACAACTCTTGCAACTTTCGTTGTGCCATATACTCAACATTCTTAGAGAAAAACTGGTTCTTCAATTCCTACTTTAGGTCTACCTAAGTGTTGATACAACACTTACCATCGATGAATTTGGAACACCATCACAAATTTGTGTCCCCAACAAGATACATTGAAGCCATCGCTTTTTTGTCTTCCTTTGACTCCATACGTACAGCTCACAAATATTGTTTCATGTCAAAAAGGAAGTTCTTTAACTCCTTAGCATCTCAGACCCCTTTGTATCACTTTAGTTCTGGTACTTTGACCCTTTTCCCTTGATCTCTTGGACTCCACTAGTATTACTTAGAACAAAAAACAAAAGATATACTTGAGCTTTCAGTTCACCAATCTCTCCTTGGAGGGCGCTCAATGCATCCCTGGTCTCATCATTCAGGGTATTAATCATCTCAAATAGTTTTCGCTAGTTTGTCTCAATTTCATCTATTCGTTTGCGTGGAACCATTTTTACTTTCACTGCGATCACCGCGGCTTCTAGCTCATCAATCCTCTAATGGTCCTTTGGTGCACTTTGCGTGGTCACCATTTTTACACTTTAGATTAGGATATGTTGCTCGTGCTCTAATACCAACTATCACTAACTACACTCGTTTGCCTAAATATGCAATAATTCGTGCGACACTTAAGTGGATGCTTCAATCAAGTAAGCCAATACTTAGTTATATCTTATCCAACATTAATAATAACAAATTAGACTAAAAGAACTTACAGTAAAATCAAAAAGCATACTGAATGCCATATATGCAACCACTAAGTCATAAAAAGGAAATATGTTTTATTAATATGAAATTAATTACAAAGGGACCAAGACAAGCCATTGCTGGGCCATAGGGGTAGCCTTAGATGGTTTGTTATAAACATACCTTTACTAGTAAGGTAGCCCAACAATCCACTGACTGCTCACCCCCTGTAAAGAGTTTACAAGATTTTACAAATATTCTACTAATAGCCATTATAACGCTTGAAACGAGGATTTTTTTTTCCTAAAAGGCCTTTCCCCTTAAAGACTTAATAAGTATTTTTTGAGATATCACCATGAGCCATTACATTGTTTGAAAGAAGGACGTTTCTTTTACAAGTACAAAAGACTCAATCTCATAGGCAACTCTACCCTATCATTGTTTGATACAAGGTTAGCTCATTACATAGTGGCTGTTAAGCCAAGAGAACATTCAAATGGCTACAATAGATTTACAAAACAATGTGCTAAAAATAAAAGATTAAAAAAAAAAAACACAAGTAGATAGACAAAGCCTCTGTCTTCAACAGCAAAGAGTAAAAAAGATATCCTTAAACATGGAATCCACAAGGTAGAGAACAAATCAAAATAGCAGCACCAAAGTAGTAAAAATCTAACCTAGTGATAAAAGGATGACAAAGAGCTAATGAGTTGAAAATAAAGAGCTTAAGAGCTTTGAAGCTTCATTATCAAACATCACCACCGAGTAGAGAATAAAGAACTCTTAGCAGCTCCATATTTAGCTTACAGTCAGCAAAAGAATTACCTTCTTATATAATGTGAGAAAATTGGACTATACCTAACGAAGAGCAAATTGCACCAATCTCGATGAATATTTGCCATTTGTCTTAGGGTCTCTTCATTTCATTTGTCACCCATGCAAGTGCATTCTTAGAGTTAGACTCTATGGTCACGTTAAAGTCAGTGAAAGGGGACAAGGCAAGGAGACATAAAGCATAAGAAATGGCTATTAACTTGGCAAAGTTAGAATCTTCTAACATATTCTTCTAAATTCTTAGAACCCCACCACAACTTGTCCAGTCTAGTTTGCCTCTAGCCGAACCATCTACAATAAACTTAAGATCACCTTTATTTGGGGGCTGCCGTGAAACTCTGAGAAATGTAAGCAGTGGAGTTCTCTTGGACATTGAGTTATAGGTTTTGTCCGCTAACCCATATTGTTAATGGAATAAACTCTTTCACATGCACAAATCTAGAAAAGTGAGCGCGTTTTAATAAGGAATAGGATTTCCAAGCCGTCTCACACGTTGCTAACAAACATCTCCTCATTTCGCACTAGCCATAGAGACTAGAAAGTTGAGCCACAAACAATCATCCATCGCTTTCATGTGGTGCCCGTAAAAGCACAATCAACCCACAACTGAATAAAAGATGACATTGTGATGGAAGTTACTCATGATAAACCCCATCATTGGAGAGCTAAGCACCATACTTTCCAACTAAATTGATATGTGAGAAGAATGTAGGACCAAGTTTTGTCCTCCAAATCACACCATACACAATGTCATTGCTTTGCATTAAAATGAACTCTGCAAGATGCAAGAAAATGTTCAATGGGGATGGTATCAAGAATTGCAAGTCAGAAAAAAGCGTTGAATCTTTAGTGGTATTCGATAACTTCCAAATAGATTAGAACCATACATCACGATCCATAAGATCCGTATCAAGGAACGAGCAAAAGATTTTGTCTGAAAAGTGAACTTTGGGGTGATTTTTCCATATAAGCCTATTTTCTTTCCTAGGTACTAAAGCCACATTGGATAGCTCAAGAAGTATCTCATTATAAGCATCATTCTCCCATGAATAAAAATTACTTTTCAAATTAATAGTCCAAAAACCATTGTTCCACACATCCATAACCCGAACGTCCTCATCCAATACAAGTGAGAAGAGACGTATCTATTTGGTGTTAAGTGGCTCATTAGCAAGTGTCCACTTACCCATCCAGAAATATATTGAAGCCCTTTTGCCTATCATTCTTGTTCTTAGTATACATTGATTATTGGTTTTATCATTGTAACACTCAAATCTAATTAAATCAGACAGAAAAGGTAAGTTTATAATTTTATTTTTTTTCCATAAGTATGTGTTTATAAATAGATTACTTTGTTGGAATTTTTGGGCTCTTTTATTAAACCATTATTGTTCTTTTTTTGAATGAAAAAATTTCTTAGTCATCAAAGAGAAAAAGTGTTAATCTTTTGGTACAAGTTTTTTTCCCTGTGAAATTGTTGAAATATAATAATTCCAAGAAGTTAAAGATATTTGACGCCTTTACTATGATTAGATAATATTTTGTTGAATAATTCCATATGGAAGGGAAGTAGATTAAGCTGCAGGATAATCTATGGTGCTGACTCAAGCTCCCAAACCTATCAATTAACAAAATCAATATAATAAGATTGGCAGGTCTTGACTTCTAAAGGCAGTTTCTTCTTGGTTAATCAAAATGAAAAAATGTTTGATTATAGAGTTAAATCCATAGCATTAGTCATTATATCAAAGTATAGCTTTTTGACTAACTAGGGAATACGCCAAAGTTTCCTTCACCGCTACAAATTGGCTTCTATATAATATTCTTCTATTTGCATTTTAATACAATTTCCTTTGGTCAAATATATAAAATTTTGTTTTTTTAATATTTTTTTTAGATTTGAAGAGTTAAAAGAAAGGTTAAAGTACTGCATAAGTTTTTGAACTTTTGAATTATATTTTTCTATTGTGTGCATCAAGTGATTTCAGCAATCGTTAGGCTTATGGTTACCTGCCACTTGCACAAATGGATCTTGATAAAAGTTAGGTGAGTGGAAAAATATTTCAGCTGAGACATGTTGGACATTAATTCTAATCAATCAATTTTATTACGGTACAAAGGATTCTAACTAGTCATGGATCTAAGGTTAAAGGTATCCTATGAAATGTTTTTGTCAAAATAAGAATTTATATGCATAAAAATAAAAAAATAATGATTTGTTTATATATAATAAAAAATAAAAGTTTTTTTAAAAATATTGAGATAATTCAAGAGATTTTTATCTTCAAAAGAAAGGGAGGAACATCTTATCTCTTGTAACTTAACTCTAGGATTTAAAAAAAAGAAAGTTATAGCTTAATTTATATGAATTACATGCTTTATCTATAAGAAAAGGTATAACGAAAGGTAGAGAACAATAAAAATGGAATTGTAGAATTCAATACAAATTTGTTGTTTTTAGACATATATAATTTCTAATAAAAAATTTAAATTATTTAAAAAATATAAATAAGATATTCTTTTATTATGTTCAATCAAATTTTTATATTTTTATTTTGATTTAAATAAACTTTTATAACTAATGATTAACTAACTATCGTTATTTTGATGTCACGTGATGTTGACATATATCATAATAAATAATAATATCCTAGAATTAGCATATTTATATAGTATTTTCATATTCTACATCAATACCATGTCAACATCATGTAGATGTAAGAGAATAAGTGATGTTCTGATTAATCGTCATTAGTTATAAGATAGTATAATCCTAAGGTCCTATTTAATCTAAAATAAAAATATAAAGACTTTTGAATAATTAAAACAATTTTGAAACATTATACCTTAGTTTTACCTAATGAAGTGCGTGGCCGGACCCATGGAGTTATAGTTCCAGCAGTTGATAGCGTAAATATACGCCACAATACTGTATTGGATACGAAGGTCAAAAGAGAGCTTCTGTTCTATTTATAAATGACCGTCACTCCTCCATGGAATTCGGGAAAAGATTGCAAGATGAATTCCATCTCAGACGTGTATTACTACTTGCTATGCTTCCTCCTGTCGCTCGTCTCTGCTTTTCTTATTCGATCCATCTCCAACAAATCCAGTGAATCAGCTCCCGGCCGCCATCTTCCCCCAAGCCCACCGTCTGTCCCAATCATCGGTCATCTCCACTATGTCAGGCCATTACTACATAAATCCTTCCACCACCTTTCCGCCAAATACGGCCCACTACTCTATCTCCGCCTCGGCTCTTATCCCTGCCTTGTCGTTTCCTCACCCTCAATGGCTGAAGAAATCTTCAAGACCCAGGATGTCAACTTTGCAGCTCGCCCTGTATCTCCTTTCGGAGACGGCTTACTCTTTGGAGCCGACGGCTTTACCACCGCTACGTACGGAGACTACTGGAGGTTCATGAAGAAACTTTGCGTGACTGAATTGCTTGGAACACGACAGGTGGAAAGATCAGGGACTGTTCGGCACCAAGAAATTGCACGGTTTTTGCGTCAGATGATTCAAAGTGCAAGCAATAGTGAGGTTGTTGACGTGGGTGCTCAGCTCATGAAGCTTACAAATAATATTATTTGCAGGATGGTGATGAGTACAAGTTGCTCGGACGAAGATGATGAGGCGGAGAGGATTAGAGAGCTGGTGAAGAGATCATTTGAGCTGGTTGGAAAGATGAGTCTTGCTAATTCGTTGGGACCGTTGAAGAAATTTGGATTCTGGTTATATGCAAAAGAAGCAAAGGAGGTGACTACAAGGTATGATGAGATGTTTGAGAAGCTACTTAAGGAGCATGAAGAGAGAGCAAAAACCAATGATAGAGAGGGTAATAAGGATTTGATGGATATTCTCTTGGAAGCTTATCATGATGACGAGGCAGAGTTTAGGATTACTCGGAGACAGTTGAAATCCTTCATTCTGGTAACACATTTTTCTCATTTTCTATTATAGTGACAATTGGCGGGGATGTGATCCTTCCTGGAAATGAAATTACATTAGGCTCTGCTTCTATGCATGCAGCTCAGATTCGGCCAATTTTATTAGTCTAATCTGGGACTAATTTTGGTTCCCTAGCTTTTACACAAAACTTGAGCCATTTATTTAAGGTTAGCTTGATCAGTTTTGTGATAATTAGTTGTTTCCTAACCACCTCTACTTCCTAATTCGGGAAGGGAAAAATTCTTTAATCCAAGCAAAACAACAAATGGGAAGTAATTAGAGAAAGCACGAGAGAGAAAATTTTCTATATATAAAAAACTGGATCATTAAATTTTAAAAATGACTATAATTTCATTATAAGTTTACTCGATTTGGCTGTAATCTGTTTTTTTTTTTGATTTTTTCATTTTCTTGTTGGGAGATACCAGGATCTGTTCCTTGGGGGCACCACTACTTCAGCAGAAACCATGCAATGGGCAGTAGCAGAGCTCATTAATCACCCTAATGTTTACAAGATTGCCAGAGATGAAATAGAGTCAGTTGTTGGAAGAAGTAGACTGGTTGAGGAAACAGATATCCCATGCCTCCATTATCTGCAAGCAGTTGTGAAGGAAACATTACGATTACATCCAAATGCTACCTTAATACCAAGAGTCTGCCATCAAGACTGTAAAATCAATGGCTTTGATATACCTGCAAGTACTCCAGTGGTAGTCAATGTCTATTCCGTAGGCAGAGATCCAGCAATATGGGAAAATCCAAACGAGTTCTGCCCTGAGAGGTTCCTAGTTTCCTCTAAATCTGAAACCAAGGGACAGAATTTTGACTTTCTTCCTTTCGGAGGTGGAAGAAGAGCGTGCCCTGGAAAAAACTTGGCTTATGCAGTAATCAATACCGCAATTGCATCTATGATCCAGTGCATTGACTGGAAGGTTATTGGTGAAGATGGAGATGGGGCTAAACTTAGTATGCAAGAAGCAGTGAGCGTGTCCTTGACGATGGCTTCTCCACTTCGATGCCTTCCTTCGGTTTATTTTAATCCATTTGAGGCTTAAATATGACTCTTCAAAGTCAAATGTCAAATAGTTTTAGCTTAAATATGACTCTTTTCTATATGTATATAAATATATATATCTACTCTAGCTTTCAACTACTACAATCTTTTATCGTTATTTAATAAAATTTTAAATTAATTTCTTTCTTTGAAAATTAAAATTTTAAGCTATTTAGATTTTTAATAAGTTTCAATTTATTTTTTATTTTTTTAAATTCATAATTTTTTTGATTTGTCAATTTATTTCTTTGAGTTGACTATGCAAATATTCTTATTAGGCTAATTTTTTTTTAGCCCTACAACATAAGGTGTTTTTGAAAATAGTCTTTCAGATAATTTAACTTTTTTTAACCAAGAAATGAGATTTTGGGACAAAAATGCTCTTAATGTGACTTCTTCATTGACGCGCACTCTCGTTCACCTACATAATAGGGAAAATAAATTTGCACAGAATTTGTTTCTCTAATTTTTGGAAAACCTTGTTTTTGCAAAACATCCAATATTCTTTTTTTTTTTGGAAAACCTTGTGCAAAATAAAATCATGTTGCAGGAGATGGTTTTTTTGATATTTAGGACATCACCATAAACTAAAACACCATGCATATTACACGACAGGTCTATTGAACAATCTTTCGATTCAAGGTCAGAGATATGAAGGTATTGAAATAAGTTTACAATTATTGCATAGTAAGTCAATGAGTGAATGTCAATTTTTTTATGGGTTTAGTGATTTGAATACCATATGGAATGAGAATGTGGTTTAGTGTTTTGTTGTTAAATATGCATTGCTGTATTCCGTGGAAAATGGGTTTCAAATGGTAAGAGAAGGTTGATAGTAAACCAAATGAGGAATCAGTAGTGATGAATCCAGAGCTTCGAGAATGATGTGAAATAAAAAATCCTTGATACGGTGGTGAACCAAAAGGAGGAAAATATCAAACCATGTATGACACGGCTATGACACGGCAGGGTTTAGAGTTTGTGACACATCATGGTGGGAATGTGTGACACGGCATGGTGAGAGTGTGTGACAGGCAAGGTTTAGAGTTTGTGACATGCCATGGTGGGAATGTGTGACACGGCATGATGAGAGTGTGTGACAGGCAGGGTTTAGAGTTTGTGACATGCCAATGGTGGGAATGTATGACATGGTGTGGTGAGAATCTATGACACGACATGGTGAGCATGTGTGACATGATATAGTGAGAATATGTGACACGGTCGGGTTGTGACATGGCATGGTGGGAATGTGTGACATGGCATGGTGAGAATTTGTGACATAGTTATGACACGGTAGGGTTTAAAGCTTGTGACACGTCGTGGTGGGAATGTGTGACACGGCATGGTGAGAATTCGTGACACGGCATGGTACGAATTTGTAACACGGCATGTTGAAAATATATGACACGACTGTAACACGGCAAGGTTTAGAGTTTGTGGCATGGAATGGTAGGAATGTGTGAGATGGCATGGTGAGAGTGTGTGAGATGGCAAGGTTTAAAATTTGTGACACGCCATGGAGAAAATATGTGACACGACAGGGTGATAATATGTGACCCATGGAGAGATTATATGAGACAACATGGTGAGAATATGTGACATACCAATGTGAGAATATGACATACTATGGTGAGAATATGTAAGACGGCATGGTGAGAATATGTGACATGGCTGTGACACAGTAAGGTTTACAGTTTCTGACACACCATGGTGAGAATTTGTGAGACGACGTGGTGAGAATCTGTGACACAGCATGGTGAGAATATATGCGACATGCCATGGCTTGAATATGTGACATGGCATAAATTGACAAGTGAACAAATTGAAGCTTGCCTCAGTGTACTATGTAAGCAACTTATAGGGTCAAAATCCAAGTTGTACAACACTTGTGCACGCATGGTTGATACGATATTCTTTGTAAGTTTACTTGAACATTTTTCAATTATGAAACTACGTGTGTTTTGGACTACATGACGTGTAAGTTGATGTAAACATATTTCACAAGACACTTCGCAAATCTAACTGAAACTAAACAATCAAGTATGAAAATTCCAATTAAGTTGTGGATATATGTGAAGGGTGATAGGCCGACATATGGGAAAAAAATGAGAAGATGTTGATTTTATCCTCACTCATTGCAATGTGGTTGGGCACTGGGTTGTTGATAAGATCCACTTGATGAAGTGGACGATAAAGGTGGAGTGTGCAAGAACTTTTGCTATTAAAGATACTGAACTGCGTGTGACTTAGATGACATCCATTACGATGATGATGGCCATCATCTACCACTAATTTGATTATTTCAACAAAATGCTCCACAAGGCATGAGATTCCATGCTGATGCCATTGGAAATTCAATTGTCAAAATCATTAGTGCATCGCCAGAATGATAGCATCAGCTGTGGTATATTTAAAGTAGGGTATATTAATGATATTTTGCAATCGAGATTGATCAGAATTAAGCAGAACATGATTGCAAATGTACATTGCCAATACGCCTTAGAAATTTTTAGTAGTAGTTGTGAAAATGAACCCTAAACCCGACCCCATGAACATATGAGATGTTGTATGTACATCTTTTGTAGATACAATTAATTATAATATACATACATTTTATACAATAATGTTTCAATTGAGACACAGTGCCTATAATGATCGAAAGATGTAAATTAAATTAATTGGTTTAAGGTACCTTCAACTTGTCATTTTTTTTACTAATGGTGTGTCACAACAAGATGCTAATGACATCTTTGGAAAGTGGCATGTTACCCTATAATACTATAACAACATGGCACCGTGTCATGACAAGATGTCAACGACATCTTTGGAAAATGGCGTGTCAGCCTATAATACTACAACGACTCATGCATGTCACGACAAGATGTCAACGACATCTTTGGAGTGTGGCGTGTCACCCAATAATACTACAATGACTTAGCATGTCACGACAAGATGTCAATGACATAGGTGAAATTGGAGTGTGGGGTGTCACCTTATAATACTGCAACAACTCAGTATGTCACGATAAGATGTCAACGATATCTAACAATTGGAGCCTGCAACAATATAATATGACAATTAGTAGAATGTTGTTGTTTGAAAATGGAACATGAACTAGAAACAAAATTAAAGGCTCAAAGATAACAGTCAGTGTTTGAATAAGGATACACTCCTTCCCAAGAATACCACAACCCCAGAGACTCGTCCACTTGATTATTTGTCCGGAGCTCCATCAAGGTGTTATCTTTAAGTTTAAAACTGACAAATTCACCAGGAACATGTATCACCACGAATGACTCATCTTCATCCCCTACATGCTGGTGAGCAATATGTAATACAGCTAACTTGTAATTTCTTCTTATTCTTGGACTATGGAATGCTACCGTACCAAGATTGAGATGGTACTT